CTCCTTCACTCCCTCACTGCCTTCCTGACCTCGATGGCTCTTTTTCTCTCTCCCTCCTTCCCTCCTTCCCTCCTTCCCCCTTTCCCTCCCTCCCTCCCTCCCTCCCTCCTCCTCAAACCTTGGTATCTTCCGGGACTGCCTTGCGCAACTGTGACACTTGCTTGACCGTCATTCCTTGGGCCGGAATGGCAAATATCATCTCTGCATTCTCCAGCCAGCCTTTGTATTCCGTCAGTCGCTCCTCTTTGCCCGTGCGCGTGGAGACATAGGCGCTCCCCGCCTTCAACGCCGTCTTGGGCTGTCTGCTGGAAAGGGCTGCCGGGGCGCCGAGACAAGGGTTAAAGACGGGTGAGGTGCAGGCTTATCGAGTACCAATAGAAGACCAATAACGTTTTAAAAAATTCAAGTGCATTATACAGTCGCGGAGCATGTCTTGTGCCCCCCTGCGCCTTGGCCGCTCCCTCTTTCTTGAGGCCCCTTTCCTGTTTCCCTCTTGACCCGCCCAAACCCATCTACTCACGCATTTGAAAGGCCGCCGCCCCCGCGAACAGGAGAGAGACGAGACAAATGGACTTCATACTGTGGATATATGGAGGTGAATAATCGTACGGGGGTGAGGGTGAGCGTCGTTCAAGGAGGGAGTGTCGATGGAGGGTACGTGTGCCCGAGAGGGAGCGCCCGGCCGATGAAATCGATGGGGCACAAACCCAACTGCGTGCAATAAGGAGCACTCCAGCCTCCATCTCACCCCGCCTTGCTTGTCTCGGTACGACGAGCGTACAGGGAAGCGGGGCAGAAAGACATGTCATGAGAAAAGGGGTGGCGCAGGTCAGGTATCTTGGGTTGCGATCTGCGGCGTTGACGAGACAGAGCTTCTCAATGGAGGGCAGAGAGCCTCCCCACCTTTTATGACAAAGCCTTATAGATAGGCAGTCCGTGGAGAAAAGACGCTCCCCCGTGTTTGCCCACGCCTTGCCATGGATTTGCGCCGTAGGACACGGGGGGTGGCAAGTTGCCCTGGTAGTGCTTTCCCTGGTCAAGAACGACGGAGATAGGATACACACAGCGTCCTCTAGCGCCGGGGCCCGCGATGGCAAGCTATTCCCACCGCCATGGGAGGGGAAAACTTCCCTTTTGGGCCTTACGGAGAGGTGGAGAAGCGTTGGCATTAATCTGATAAGCAGGGGATGTTAATTTTGTTTTGGGTTCCTTCTTTGGATACAGGTGCATAGGCGGGACGTGGTTGGCTTGCTGTTCAAGTGCTGGTGCTTTGCCGCCTCCTACTAGGAGCTTCAAGGCTGCATCATGAAAGCTTTCTTGCGCCCAGAGTATGCAAAAAGGACAAAGCTGCCGTGGCTCCACGTCTTTGTGTGTTGTCTAGGCGTTTTTTGCCTCCTCCCTGACATAAAAGCCTTCTCTCCCTGCCTCCACCTCCCCGGCTCCTCCTTCCTACCTACCGTATTGGAGCCACAAGCCCGCCTGGGTGGTCGAGGACGAAGAATAAGGGTAGGAACATGCCTACAATGTGAAAACTACGAACATGGAGCCCATGGAGCCGTGCAATCGTCGCACGAAGGACAGGTAGTCTTTGAGATAGTCTGTTGATCACACAAATTCTTGTGCAACCTCCCCCCTCTCTCCCTCCCTACCTACCTACCTCCCTTCCTCTGCGATTCCTCTCATCGCCCCCTGCATTTCCACCAGACTGATCATGTTTGCCAGGGCAAGCCAGCATTGACATGCAATGAAGACCCCGTGGTAACAAAAAAGGGCGAGAAGAGGGGCCTGGACAGGGTGCGTTCCTCCAAGGGCCTTCCAGGAAGGGAAGAGGGAGAAGGAGGGAATGTGGTCGAGCTCTTGAAAGCCAGCAGCGCTGTCCTCTTGGCGGCGATAGGACCGAATCCATGGGACAGGTCCGTGGCACCGTTCCCTCCCTCCCTCCCTCAATCCCTCCCTCCCTGTCTCGCTTCTCTCCCTCTTGTCGACCGACACTCGCCC